TTAATTTTTTAAATAATGTATTTGACAATTCAGTGAATAAGTCCACCCTGAACAACATGTCAACCTTCTAGAACGAAATAGAAGAACTCCTTTGCTATGAGAACTGTCTATGGATCGAAAAGCACTCTCCAACGAAAGCAAGACAACAAACTTAGTTGGCTATAGATAAAGATCACACGTCTGGGTATTGTTTGATTTAAAAAATAAATATGTAAAATTAGAGTTTATTTAGAGTTATAAATCCAAATTTCAAACCAGCATTTACCGATGATCGATTTCTATTAACATAAAAATCTACGACAGCCAGGGGATATATATTGACCCCAATTTCACAAGTGTAGTGGTTCCATTTGTTACGGAGTTCGATCAGAAAATTACAGTGTTAGCTTCCCACTGTCGAACAAAACCAATCATTAACTGGTCTAACCTCAAATATTATTTGTTTATTCATGAGCGCATTAAAAAAAAATCTGAGTTAGCCTAGTTACTGTATATTAAAAGATGTAATAGTAAAATCTGTGAAAATACCACAGTTTAATCGTATTTGTACTTTTCTACAATAGGATTTAAGCATGACCTTACTTTCGTTCTATCTAATCCAATTAGCATTGACAACAATAAGACAAAATCAGCTGATTATTATTGAAATACGCTCGTGGCAACCGGAAAACAATTATTGTTTTACTTGCACTGGTTAATGTTAATAATTAGGTATGCTCTTAGAAAAATCTATAACATTTCTTGTAAACTATTAAGTACTATAGGACACATATGAGTTCATTTAACAGACTCTGGTATGAAATAGTAAGAAATGTTATATTGGTTGCTTAAAATGTAATGTTTACAATTAATTGTACAGATGTAATCGTTATTTACGTATAAATTATGAACAATACTGTAATTAGTGTAGATTTTACATTAATATGATTAGTATAATTCATTACTTTTTTCAGAGTACCTGTGTTTGATATTAAACCGTCATAAAATACTAGTTACCAATAAGCTATGCTATTTTTAAACCATTTTACATATACTTAAACTGTTTTAAGTAGTACTAATTTGTATTTATTTTTAGCCGTTTTAAAACAGAACTAACTAAATTAATCAATACAGTTTTTTTTGTGGGGCAGTTGTAGATTATAACTAGAATATAAAAGGATCAATTTAATAAAACCTGTGATTGGAAATTTATCAATTTGTTTTGATTTTCTGTTTATATTTTGTTGTTATTTCGTCACCAACATGGCAACCCATAAGGCCCATGTTAATTTTTTTTAATTTTAAATCCATTTCTTGTTTTTATTTTTGAGCCTATTTTAATTTATAAAGGGATTCTGCACATCTACAGAGAAAAAATCGTTCATTTGGTACCAAACACGTGTAATTCGGTCCAGTAGCATGGTCAGGCTAGCTGCCGTAAGTTTTGCAACAGTTATTTAGTATATAAGATTAATGTGAATAGTGTGTAGTTTTTAAATTAATGTAAATTTTGACCAGAATAAAAGAGTTAAATATCGACAAAATGTACATTATGAGGACTGTTTAAAACCCACTTTTCCCTATATTCATAACTTGAACCCACCTCGTGGCATTATACAGATCAAAACAGAAAAGATCCCGTGAAAATCGCCAAACTTTCTATCAATACAATACCCCCGCTGCAGCAAACCTGCCGACTAAGCGAATTTCCATTTGTCTGAATTGATTTTCAGTTAAATATATTTTAATAACATTAGGTTTAACGAGTACCTAGGTTTGCTGCTACAAGGAAACTAATAAAGTGTGTTTTTGAGTAAAATATTGATAGCTTAGTACAAAATAAACTAGGGTTGCTTTCAGAGAGGTGAAAGCCAGTTGAGCGGAACAAACGTGATTTGATATTTGTATAAGTAACTAAATGTAAAAAAGTCAATAGATGTATTAATGCTTGTTTTATTGATTATAATTGTAATAATTCAAATTTGTTTTTACTACATCTTGTTATTCAGACACCTCTTCCAGAAGTGCATTGGTAGTTTTGACCAGGAAAATATTACAGTAGTTGGAATCTGATATTAACATCCAAAAAGGGCATTAAAGTATAAAAAAGAGAAAGGAAATTTAACATTCAAATTCAACTTTAGCCTACAACAAAAACATTGGTGTTCATTTTTCACCCTTACAATCGGTTTAAAGTATTTAAGTATAAAAAACAGTAACTATTTAAAAATCACGTGAGTATTAAAGTATAACATCAGGAGGGAAAATTTGACATTTAAATTCAACTGTGCAACATAAACATTGGTCTTCATTTCAACCCTTGCAATCGGTTAAAATCAGCTTTCTTTGCTGAAAATAATTTATGATTGTTAATACCAAGTATTCTTGATATGATTGTAATGTAACTGGAATGTAGGTCTTCCACCATTATTGGGACGATTTAGAGACGGCATTTTAATACTGGCCTTAATAAAACCATTGACCATTGGATACAGAAGATTTTGATGAAAAAGCTGGCTATAAATTTAACATGGGGATGGAATGTCTAGTTGTATTGATAGTCAAAGATAACCGTGGTTAAAAGTGTACTTCTATAAGTCCAGGTAATTAATTATTTACTTATTACGGTTATAACTGGACGTATGTATAGTCCGTGGCTTGGCAATCAAATAACAGTATTCATATAGGATAGGCTACTGTTATCAACATTTGAAATTACTGAATTGTTACCAAATTACTGTTTCACAAAATGCAGATTCCATTTCAGCCGAGCCATTAAAATGAGGATTTGCCGAACAATTATTAATATTACAGAATAGTATTTAATGATGTACAACTTTTCACATTTCATAAATTATATGTTAGTTTTGCTATGGGCAAAGGTCCAAATCCAAATGTTCTTTTCTTTTGGTTTTTATGTAGTAATTTGCTACAATCATTGACTTTATATAAAGTCAATGCTAGAATACAGTAGATGGTTTGTTAAGACCATATGCAAACATTTTTGGAATCGTTTCCCCATTTAACCAACTATTCCAAAAGATAAAAATTATATGGTGCATCACAAATAAACAACTCGATCACCTACCTATAACCTACACTTTACCTTCCTAATCTAACCTTACTTCAAAACATTTAATGTAGTCACGAGTACTCATAAACCCCGACCTACCTTCCCCACATGCCTAAATTAGATCAGTGTTCAATCTGCGTTTTATTAATAAGTGTAATAACTTACTGCACCGTCGATGTAATTCAACATAATATAATCTGTGATGTATTATCGGATTAAATATCGATTTCGATGTGGTTCGATATATCGCTTATTAAATCCTGATTTCTAACATTGGCTGTTTCTAATCAGCTGGCAACACAAATAGGTTCCCAAGAAAGTAGTCACTGGTCCGTATCCCTCCGCTCCTTGTTTATGCTCCGCGCATTGAGAAAGTAGTTCCGTATATTTTCTCGATTTTCAGTGAATTCCGCGCCTTAAAAAAAATGTTGTAACGGCATTTTCTTGTTTATTAAAATCATAGGAATGGTTTAAAAACGTTTAAAAGAAAAGTATAGAAAGTTCAGAAATACCTTATGATTCTCTTGTTTACATTTTTCTTGTAAACAAAAGAACTGTCATAGCTACTTTAGTCCCATAAGCCTAATGTTAAAAATTTAAAAATTTAAGTTCGTTTTAAATTGCATTAGCATTATCTAATTGAAATTTGTTTGTTTACAAACCATCTCATTATTAGTCTAAGTAGTCTTGTTAAGTTTGGCTGAAATGTGTTCAGCCGTTATTGAGTGATGGTGTTATATTGTTTGCATTGAAGTTGACCCCAAAGAGCTTCGCTCGCTTCGCTCGCTCCGCTCAATAAATTTGCCAAGTTTGATCAAAATATATTCATAAACAAGCAAACTACAACATTTAACAATATTCTCCATAAGAATAACATGGGAATTTTAAATTTACAATTTTTTTTATGTTCTCCGTTACTTATAATCGAACAAAAATACTTTTATGTACTAAATTATTTGTTTTTTAAGCTCTTTAAAAAGGTCTAGAGAAATTGGGAAATTTTGTGTTTTGAGGGTCAAAAGTGAGAAAAACTAATTTTTACCCCATAAAACCCCCCGTAAAGCCCCGTTCCCATGGTCCGATCGTGCTGGTTCGCGAACTCATTCAAGTTTATCCCGCTTTACACCTTTAAACCAAATTTCATCAAAATCGGACAAAAATTACTCAAGTATTCACGGACGTATATATATATATAAGTATATATATATATATAGATATATATATATATACATATATAAAAATTTGAACGAATAGTGTTTTTGGCCTCTGGGGACATCAAAATGAAAAAGTAAATCGGTCCCGGGTCTAGGTCTTACCGTGCTACCTACGGTAATAGCTACTTCCCTATAGGGAAATTCGCTAAAATGAAATAAATACAGCCATTTTGAATAACTTCTACTTCGATTTTCAATCAGAAATAATTTCATTTAAAAATATGCTTTCATCGTATTTATTTTATAGTAACCAGTAAGTATTTCAAGCAAATTGTTTATCCAAATAAATTGCTAAACCATGTGCTCTTGTAGCATAAATAAAATAAAAGTTATTATACAATTTAATTGCAGTTTGGTATTGTTTTAAATTTTGTTTTCGTGCAGAATGTTCTATTAATAATTTTACAATTCCTTGTGTATCCTATATTCTGCTTAAAAAGCTGCTGTAACCTATCGTAATTTTTATCACTAATCAACCAATATTACTAAAACAAAATGCTTTAACAAGCAAAAATAAACAATTTTCGTACAATTAAAATTAAATGAATGAGACGATGCAGTTTTGCAACATTTAAAAATAATTTACACTACACAGACGTTTAATATAAATCAATAGTAACGGTGTAAAATTAACACACACAATTAACACTAAAATCGCATAACAATAGATCAAATGTAAAATAGTTTTAGCTAATTAAATAATAAGTTGATGTAAACACTAGATAATAACGTACCGATTTGGCAGGCAGTGGCGCGAACGGCAGCGGCATAGCACTGAGTGGCGCACGGGTTGGCGCGAGTACGCCAGCAGTAACACCTTCGAAACGTCCCTTCTACGCCCCACCACACTGAGCGGGTAACTAGAGGGTCATAGAGTACACATGAGTTTAATAACTTATCTTTTCGATTGTGGTAAGTTATGAGGTAATTGAAAAGGTGTCTTTTGTATATAGAAATTACGAAAAACATAGTTGTGGGTGTCAGTAGGCCTAAGGGTAAACAAATTTAACAATGTATTTAATGGGGCAGAGTAAAAGTAAAATCAATAATATGTTTATGTCTATTCACCATTTTCTTGTGTTTAAATCTATACCGTACCTAACATCTATACTTAAAATTCAAGATATCTTAATGAAATTTGTTAGTCTTTAAAGTTATCAAGTCATAATAGATGAGTGAACGAAGTGAACGAATCTATGTATCGTGTATAGCGGAGTCGGAGAAAAGTTGTCCGCTTGTCTGTGAGTGAGTCTGTGTGTTCGCACCAAAAACTCAAGAACCGTCGCACTTATAGCGTTCAAATTTTGCACAAATAATTATGACACCAGTGGGAAGACCTCATTAAAATTCTAGACGATTCCGCTCAGTAGTAATTATAAAACCCTTAAAAAACATTTTTAAATTTGTCCCATAAGAATAACATTAGGAGCTACCTTCTTCTTCTCTTTATTTGTTTACGTTTTGCGACCAACAATTTTGTTGTCTACTTAAGACAGAGAGAACGACATTTACTCTAAGCTCTTTCATTCATGGAGTAAACAGTTTGGCTTCTATGAATATATATCATTAGAATTTCACAGGCTTCAGAATAATGTTGTTTAAGTTAATTAAATTTCATAACTTTCTGAATAATAAATTGAACTTTACAATATTAATCGGCAGTTATATGCCTTTTATGTTCAGTATTAAAATTCACCTTTAAACTAAAAAAAAGTAATAAAAAAATATAATAAATATAATAATAATATAAATATAATAATATATATATAAAAATATATATGTATATATTTAGAACAAAGCAGCTTTTACATTATTCAATTTAATGTTGGCATTGAATATTAAATATTCTAAGATGTTAGTAATACTAAAATGCTATGCGAAGGGGGGGGGACAGGTCCACGACGTAGAGAGTGGTAAAGGAAGCGGAAAGGTGAGCAGTGCGGAGTGTGGAAATACTTTGTGACTGTTAAATTAATATATCTGTAATACTTAACAGGTCTACGATGTAGGAAGTAGTAGTGAAGGAAAGTAGTCAAGGCGAACGCTTCGGTGTGTGGAAAGGTGGAAAGTCTTTGTGACAGTTAGAATAATGTATCTGCAATTCTAAAAATGCTATGGGAAGGGAGAGAAACAGGTCCACGACGTAGGAAGTGGTGAAGGAAGTAGTCAAGGCGATGGAAGTAGTTGAGGCGAGCAGTCCGTAGTGTGGGGACCCTTTGTGACGGTTAGGTTTATGTACCTGCAGTACTAAAATGCCATAGAAAGGGAGGGAAACATGTTTACGACGTAGGAAGTGGTGATGGAAGTAGTTGAGGTGAGCAGTCCGGAGTGTGGGGACCCTTTGTGACAGTTAGGTTAATGTACCTGCAATACTTAAATGCCTAAGTTGCATTACTTAGAAATAACGAACAGCTGTTCGGATCAAGATTATATTCTTCTTATATTCTTTAGTGCTTGATAGCCTTTATTATTATAGAGGGAAGGGAGGGAAACATGTTTACGACGTAGGAAGTGGTGATGGAAGTAGTTGAGGCCAGCAGTCCGGAGTGTGGGGACCCTTTGTGACAGTTAGATTAATGTATCTGCAATAACAAAATGCTAAAGGAAGGGAGGGAAACAGGTCCACGACGTAGAAAGTGGTGAAGGAAGTAGTCAAGGCGAGCAGTCCGGAGTGTGGGAACCCTTTGTGACAGTTAGATCGATGGATCTGTAATAAAAAAATGCTAAAGGAAGGGAGGGAAACAGGTCCACGACGTAGGAAGTAGTGAAGGAAGTAGTCAAGGCGAGCAGTCCGGAGTGTGGGAACCCTTTGTGACAGTTAGATTAATGTATCTGCAATAATAAAATGCTAATGGAAGGGAGGGAAACAGGTCCACGACGTAGGAAGTGGTGAAGGAAGTAGTCAATGCGAGCAGTCCGGAGGGTGGAAACCCGTTGTGACAGTTAGATTAATGGATCTGTAATAAAAAAAATGTTAAAGGAAGGGAGGGAAACAGGTCCACGACGTAGGAAGTGGTGAAGGAAGTAGTCAAGGCGAGCAGTCCGGAATGTGGGAACCCTTTGTGAGAATTATATTAATGTATCTGCAATAATAAAATGCTAAAGGAAGGGAGGGAGACAGTTAGATTAATGGATCTGTAATAAAAAATTCTAAAGGAAGGGAGGGAAACAGGTCCACGACGTAGGAAGTGGTGAAGGAAGTAGTCAAGGCGAGCAGTCCGGAGGGTGGAAACCCGTTGTGACAGTTAGATTAATGGATCTGTAATAAAAAAATGCTAAAGGAAGGGAGGGAGACAGATCCACGACGTAGGAAGTGGTGAAGGAAGTAGTCAAGGCGAGCAGTCCGGAATGTGGGAACCCTTTGTGACAATTAGATTAATGTATCTGCAATAATAAAATGCTAAAGGGAGGGAGGGAAACAGGTCCACGACGTAGGAAGAGGTGAAGGAAGTAGTCAAGGCGAGCAGTCCGGAGTGTGGGAACCCGTTGTGACAGTTAGATTAATGGATCTGCAATAAAAAAAATGCTAAATGAAGGGAGGGAAACAGGTCCACGACGTAGGAAGTGGTGATGGAAGTAGTTGAGACGAGCAGTCCGGAGTGTGGGGACTCTTTGTGACAGTTAGGTTAATGTACCTTCAGTACTAAAATGCCATAGGAAGGGAGGGAAACATGTTTACGACGTAGGAAGTGGTGATGGAAGTAGTTGAGGCGAGCAGTCCGGAGTGTGGGGACCCTTTGTGACAGTTAGGTTAATGTAACGGCAATACTAAAATGCCATAGGAAGGGAGGGAAACATGTTTACGACGTAGGAAGTGGCGATGGAAGTAGTTGAGGCGAGCAGTCCAGAGTGTGGGGACCCTTTGTGACAGTTAGGTTAATGTACCTGCAATACTTAAATGCCATAGGAAGGGAGGGAAACATGTTTACGACGTTTTTTAGGAGATTCCTTACATCGTGCTTTGGCAATTAGGTTAAGTTAGATTAGTTCCGTTTGGCTTAGTTTTGTTTATGATAGGCCTCATAACAAATATGGAAATAGGCTTCATTTAATCAAAAGACATGTTGTACAGGAACGATGGATTTACCTCCTATCGATAACTGTTGGAAATCCATTACGTATATTACCAATGACTTTGGTTAATTAATGGATGAGAAGTTAGGATTGCTGTTGACTATGATTTGGTTGATTTGCCCATTCAAATAACATTGTGTTCACCAGTGACACTGGTAAGTAGGCTAGGTGTGGGTGGACTCTTTCATTACTGCGCTCATGTTCACTCATCCCGTTACGCGCAGAATAAGCGTACTACTAGTCTAGTATAGTAAAAATTACCATTGAAAACTGTTTGGCTACAAAATTTTAATTTTATTTATATTTTAATTTGTATAATTTAGATGACTAAAATTTTTCTGATTTAAAAAAAAATCCTAGGAAACCTTTCTTTGGCAATTACAATTTCTTATCAAACTACACCAAAATATCGAATAATAAATAGCAAATATTTTATGGGACATATTTTCCATCAATATTTTAGTAATTGCACATTCCATTCATCAAACGAATAGGCCTACGTACATGACAACTTGACCTACGATTGCTGATCAGCTGATCAACAAGCGATAATTGGTCAACTTGTACGATCCTTTGATAACCTCACAAGGTAAAAAGAATAACACTTTTGACAGATAAGTTTTTGATCCTTACAGCAACCTACCCAATTTTCATTTAGTTGTGTAGAACCTAGAGGAGAAAAGTAAATATTTTATTTTTCTTCTTTAACCTGAAAGTTATGAATCTCTTCCAGTTCTGCCCAGACCATTGTTGTATTTCTAGGTGGTCGTTTTCACGTTTTCCATCGAAGGTTGCCTCGCTATTCTCTCCTCTCCATAATGGTTAAACAGGTTTGTTTTATTTACTTGTGTTGCATTCTTGCGTGCTATACTACACTCTTTCACTTTTGTTCGTTTTGTTGTTTTGAACAACGTGAAGGAAAGCCATAAATAATTATTGATTATATTGTTGGTAAAAGTGAAATGAATTCACGTGCGTGTGTAAAACAAATAACTTGTAACTTGTAGCCAACTTGCACTAAAGTTCTACGAGTTTTTCTAAGGCTTAGTGATAAAATATATAAGTAAACAACCTTCAAATTTCTTGTATCACCGATCCCGTGCTTATATTTCAATCATGACTGGTTTTAAAAACTACCATTAAAATTACCAAATTACTGTGAATTAGCTTAAGGGTTAATGATGGATTGAAATGGAGGTTAAAATATCGAAAATTTTTATTCACTCAGAGAAAACTTGAATATATTTTATACAGTACTCAACCCTGAACGGGCATAAACTTCAAGAACATTCTAAGACTCAATATATTTTTTTTAATACTTAATTTTGATTTGGCCGTATAAAATAAGTTACTTAATGTATTTAAATAGAATGTTCTTTATAAACATACCAATCTGAACTTCTAATAATCACTTAACTACTAATTTTACATATTTTCCTTGTCGAAAATTGAATTGATTCATTCTATAGTGGTCTACATGTACAACCGATAGGATTATTAATTTCCATTGTACACTTCTAATAAAAAACAAACAGGTAGCCGAACTGAAAAGGTATTGTTGCTGCAAAAAATTAGGTTTAAAAAAATAACACATAAAACGTAAAACAACAAAGTATTGTGAACACAATACACCACCATATCTTAAAAACATGAACTCCTAAGATAACAGGCAATAAAGAGAGTTGTAAAAGTTAGTGTTCGACTTCATTGACATTCAAAGCAAGACTTTCCAAAATAAATGTCAAGTAGAAAGATTCACGGCGCGGGCGGCAACGCGCCAAGAACTGTGCACTTTTGGCATTTACAATCAGCTGATTTATTCTAACTTATGTTAAACAGCTTCTTCTATAACATTATGTTATCAGTTAAAGTAAACCGCGTGCCAAAAAGAAAGGATCAAATCTACAGTTTAATATACTTGTTACCAAGGGTCGTAGAAAAGTCAACTAGAGCCGATCAGCTGGCATCTAGTTTTAAGTCCCCTTTAACAATAATCAGCTGTTCCATTGTTGTTAGCACGATTGAATTTTTAAACATACAGTTGCAATATTGTAGGGGAAAACACAGTGTGTATTAAATGGTTTATAGAGACGACATCTGTGGTATGATTTTTGTCTGGATGTTTGTGAAAGATCAAGTGTATCGCTTACCGATCTCAAACATAGATGAACTTAAATAATTTAAGGGAAGCCTTTGGAAAAATATTTCATAAAATGTGCCACGATGTGTGGTCAGAGTTGGAACACAGACTTGACTTTCTTCTAACAAATAACGGAGAACTGGTAGAGAGGTGGTGAAACCACAGTAGGAAAAACTTAAGTTAAGTTAAATAAATATTTTATATAAAGTTAACTTTTTATCTTTTATAATAAAGTGTTTATGCTGGTTTACTTTTGATCCATTCCTTTTGGGCCTCCAGGTATTATTTTAGAGTTAAAGTTTTACATTTAATCATATTGCTCGGACATAACCATTTATGAGTATCAATCTATATATTAATAGGCAAGCATGTTTCTTTAAAACCTTTTTTTCTCAGCACTGAAAAAATCTAGGTACCGATACTGTTGGAAAGATATTTTTCTGTAGACTTGCGGAATCCCTTCATAAATTAAAATAAGCTAAAAAATTCATGAAAAACGAATTTTAAATTTTAAAAAATTAACATGGACCTTATGGGTTGCCATGTTGGTGACGAAATAACAACAAAATTTAAACAGAAAATGAAAACAAATGGAAGAAATTCCATCACATGTTTTATTTCGAGCGTATGGTGAGAATAGAGAATTCTGTACATTACATATTTTTGGTGGAGTTTTCAACCTCTGGACGACCTCTAGTTCAATTAATATCATTAAACATTTTCTCGCTCAACCTCTCCTACAACCAGTGTTACTGCAATCTGCTCATCTTTATATGTTAAATGCAAGTATTGTTGACTCTGCCATGAGGTCACCTAATACAAAATTCAACACTGATTTAGGTCAGCCTTCACTCAAGATTTATTTCAATTTACAAAACTGCCAATCGGGCACTCCCAGCGTAATTTGTCCGTCATGTTATCCTGTGACAGGCGTACCTGCTGGGAAAGTAAATAACTACTGTCCTCATGAACTGGGTATTAAATTATACTCTGGTTCATATGTAGCCTAGTCCATTACTAGATTTGACCATATTAAAAAATAGCCTGAACTATGTTTGTAACACCTATTTAATGGCCACTTTTGTCCCTCTATCAAGAATAAACTATGAAACCAAATTATCTGAATGTTCAATACCTAACTAGAATTTTATTTTGTGTTATATTTTTAAATTCATTTATTTAAATTTAGAACCACACATTTACTATAGGCTAAGATGTATTAGTATGCTATTAGTCTGGCCTTAGGTATTATAATAAAATGTCAAGGTGCACACTGGACAATTTATCTCAAAAAGAGGATTACATTAGCAAACAACTCTCAAACTTGACACTTCAGATTTTACATTTAGTGCAAGTATATTTGTAGGATCCGAGCATAGCCTCCTCTAATACAAGGCAACATCTCACAGGCTACCTGCACCTGCCATGGTAATAACAGAAGTAACAAACGTGTGAATCTTGCACAGGTATTCCATCATGAATTAGTGCAACAGCTGTTCAAATGGGCTGGTACTGTGGTTGCCATTTTTTCTCATCGTGGTTTTGTATTAGAGGAGGCTATGCTCCAAGTCAAAGATTACACTGTTTTAATTTTCTGTATTTATTTACTATACATCACAAACTATTTGTACAACACTGTTTTATTATGATACAATAATATTTAATAGGTACTAAAAATAGTAGTTGAGATTAACAAATTAGAATTATTGAAAAATTGTGACATAAGGACATTTTTACTGGATGGAAATTTGGTACAAAAACAAATGAGGAATGAAAACTTGTTTAATCACAAATGTTCTAGGTGCAATAGCAGGAAAGGTACAACAGAATTGAAATATATAGGGATAAAACTATAGCTGATTTTATGCTCTTCGCTTGGGAAAACTCATGAATAGTTAAACAAAGGTGTTGAGGGGTTCTAAGGCAGAGCTTCAAGGACATGAACATGTCAATATTCACAGATAACCAGGTTAAAGACACTCGACTCCTGTGAGTTGTTCAAGCAGGTAGTCTAGGACACAGGGAAGGGAATAAGATGGCTGACAAGCTTGTTAATGTGGTCTCATCAATAGACTTTGTAGGTCCACAGCCTTTCTGTGGATCTTCTGTGGGTAAGTCAGTCAGTCATGTCATGGGCTCGGGAAGAGCATAAGGGGAGATAAGTAAGTCCTCCAGCATCACAGAGGAAAAAGGCTCATTCTCCTCCCCTTCTCAGACTCCCATTCAAACGCTACACATTAAAGGAGGCAACTAAGAACCCATGAATGTGACCAAGGCATCCTTAAGAAGCAGCTACACTTAAGAATCCACAATGGAGATACAGCTGTGAACACAGCTGAAAACTAGAAAATGTGGGTAGAAAGGGCAGTCAGGTGAGGGAAATCCAGACACATAACACGGAAAAGCCCACGGCTGATGCACCTGGGAATGTTCAATTTTCTTTCATTGACATTGGTATTTGATATCACTGTGAGTAGTATTCCTGAACAACATCACTGAACCATGCAGGATCGTTGAGTGCTGTGGAAGGTGGTCTGCCACGATGACTCTTGTAGTGCCATTCTGAAACTCCTCGTCCCCTTACTCCTCCCACCTTGTACACAACCATCCTCTCTACCATCCTAGCTTCCCATTTCCAGCCTAGATAATGCACTGACTCATGCTCCACCTTCACCTCTACTGTGTACAGTTTTTTGCCTGAAACAATCACATTTCTGTTTATAGTGAGTTTCTTACACTTTTTGTTGAATATAGAATTTTTAATTGCTTTACTCATGTAACAAAAAAATCAAAAAAACAAAATGTACAGGTTTTCACAATTTCCAACAATAAATAGGACTTAGACTGAAAAATGTATGAACTTCGCCCTGGATAAAAAATGTTTAAATCTTTTGTCAAATTTTATTTTTAGTTAAGATTATTTTGAGTATTTTTTAAAGAAAGCCAAATGGCTAGTTAGGAAATTTTTGAAAATGAATTGAGTTTAGCTAGCTTACCATAAATTAAAAACTATTATGGCTATTAAGCATGTTTTACCAGCTTTGAATGAGAAAGCGTAGTCTTTTGGTGGGGTTCCGTTTTCTCCATGTTGATACAGTTTGAAGTCACACCATGTGATAGGATGAATTAAGCCAGTGTTTAGGACCACATACCCCGTCTGCAAACTGTACAGAACTATAAAATTATTTTTACTATGAGAAAGAAGTGGTATGTAGAAACAAATGTAAAATTCACTATTATCTAAAACATTTGTCATATAAAAACAAAGGTGTTAAGATATTTATGAAAGAAATTTATGGATTGAGCATTTACTAGATTGTTTATCATTCTTTCAAGTTTTTTTATGGATTGATTATAGTTAGTAACTTGAGGGAATTGATAAAAACTAAATCTATTTAAAACCATTATGACCAAACGGGATGATACATGTATAGACAACCCATACCCGTTGTTTTCCATAAAGTTTTATAGCAAAATATTTAAATGGAAGCTGTAAATTTTTGTTAAAATAACATCAAACTACTAAATCTACATCATTGCACAAACATATGCCAAAAAAAAGCTAAAGTCTTTTTGAAGCCTCCAAATTCAATGGTAAAAGACGATATTTATTTCGCCAACAACTTTTTCCCAAACCAGGTCTTTAGGAATTATAAATGAGAAGCTATTAAATATTTTTGGTTGTGGTATGTTTATTGAAGTGAAGGAATTAATGGTGTATCAAATTTTAAAGGAAAATTTAACCGAACCATATTAGGGATTGAACACAATTTGGAGATATGAGAAAAAGATCACACCAAAAAAATTATTGGGGAAAAATCTGACCATCACCAGAATACATCTCTATACACATCTCAAACTAATTATAATCCCAGATAAATAATATTCTTACACAGAGCAGTTGGTTGGGTGACATATAACTCCAACGGCAGCTTTGGTTCCGTCTTCCAGAAAAATCATGTGGAAAACGTAACGATGCAACAGCTCCCAATCCCGCTCCACACCTAGAAAACAACTTTATTTTAAAAGTTAGATAATTTGCCTCATGTGTGGCATGGGAGTAAAAAGTAACATAAATATAAAATAGAAAGTAGAAGACAAACTACTGATTTGAGTTTTAAAGTTGTTCTTAGGTTTTTTCACTCACCGTAACTATGGTCCCTGAAGGCTGCCATGTTAGTTAAATTATATACTTCAGTATTTACTGTCAGAGTAGCTTCCATATTACCCATCTGTTCATAATGGCACTGATGTGATCTGGAAGGCGCAAAGACAATTTTAGAAGATTACATTTCCACTCGGCATCTCTTATTAACCAGCCGTTATTAGCTGAGATGCCATTCCATTATAGATAGCTAGGACAACAATGTTAGCTCTCATTGGCGCACGTATGTTTTCAGAGGGTCAAGATTTAACTATGTAAGGTAAGGTTAAATAATTTTACATAGAAACCTGTCCTTTATGTCAGTTTTGCTGCTCATATAATTCAATTAATTTGCGCTGAATGCCACTTTACTTTACCAAAATCACGCTTCTTTACTCTTGACATTAAATAATTTAAAATATATATATTACGGTACTCAAGTTATTTTTCCTTCATTTTTCTATATATTAATAGGCAAGCATGTTTCTTTAAAACCTTTTTTCTCAGCTCGTGTGCATCGTGGGGTAAATCTACGCATACCGTTAGAAAGCTACTTTCCTGTAGGTGTGCAGAATCCCTTTATAAATTTAAATAGGCTCAAAGATAAGCACAAAAAATGAGTTTAAAAATTTGAAAAAATTAACATGGATCTTATGTGTTGCCATGCTGGTGACGAAATAACAACGAAATATAAACATAAAATCAAAACAAATGGAAGAAACTCCAATCACATGTTTTATTTACAGTGTGGGGTGAAAATAGAGAAGTGAGTAAGTTTACATTACATATTTATGGTCGAGTTTCGACCACTGGACGACCTCTCGTTTTAATTATTTGAAGAGGTGGAGGGCATGAGCTCCCCATTTATCACCCTGTTAGCTCTAGGAAAATATCTTAGATACCATCAGGGTTCTGCTTTTAGCATTAGATACCATCATAGATATTACAGATACAAATCAATGGCTCTGATTTTATTCAGGCACAGGCCATAAAAAATACAGCAATGTTCATGTTCATCAGCAAAGTCTCAATTCTGCTTATGCATCTTTTTTATGAAGAAATATTGTAAGTATACTCTCTGAAGAGGTCCTGTATCAGGACAAAATTACAATGTTATTTTTATGAACTTTCATCTTTGTGACCTCTATTTTTTCAGATAATCTAGCGTCCCTTTTCAAATAAATTCCTAATCAACATAAGAAAACAAGCATCGGTATATATTTTCATATTTTTTTGACGTTGAACATAAACATACTTTTTAAGCGCTTTAAAGTACTGCAGAGTCCAAGGTTCGTTGGCGATCGCCGCGGCCAGCAGACCCGGATCTAGGTCTGTGTCATAATGGAAGATCGGCAATGCAGATGTAAAGACCGCACTGAACGCTACTGAGAACTGCTTTGTAGGGTTGACATGAAGCCTGGATGAGAAAATAAGCATGAAACATTTACTTTATAGAACAAACTAGTGACTTAAACCCTAACCTTCTCTAACACAAGGGTGTTGGTGTGCAACTTCATGCCTATTGCCAAGATAATAACATAGGTTTAAACATAAACATTTCCTACGCTGTTATAAATTAGTGCAACAGCGGTTTCAGTTTGCCGGAATGGCAGTGTTGTCACTTTTGCCTCACCGCAGCCTTGTATTAGAGGAGGCTATGCTTATACAGGATGAATAAAATCTGCCTGGTAAGATTTTGTGTACCAGTATATACGTAAAAGTAATAAGAAAACATCATACAAATGTGTCCTTATTTATCACCACACACTTAAGTGATGGTGATAAAAAGAAACAACTTTAAGTTTTTACGCAGTGATCCTGACATTCGTGTCATCGACGTCGCAGAATCAAAATGGTGACCATTAAAAGTTTTATATCCAAAATTGTTTATATTGAAGCCAAACACAGGTTCATTTAGCTTTAATTTGAATCCCATGTAATACAATATCTATCTAAATCAGTGTCAAAATATCAACAAACATTTTCCTTCTTCCGCCCCTCTCTTTACATCTATTTGTTTCATACTGTCATAAGCTTAAGATTTCCACGACTGACCACATTTCCCCTGTATATGTGAGTTTCCACTTCCTCATAGGCTCCAAGGGCTGCAGCAGGAGACCCTCAGCTCCAAAAGTGTCGTCTTCAGCATCAAACAGTACGGTGTCGGGGATTTTGTGGCCACAAAGCAAACCCAAGCCAGGCACCTGTATAAAAAAGTCTTTTTAACAGGAAAAATTAGTTGGAAAAGCTACTTTTAGTGTGCTAGAGTAAAATGGCATCGCAGCAGCAAAACTGTAGACTGTGAGAGAATTTTTATTTGCATACAATATAATGTTTTTTGCAAAAAAAAATACTTTAAAATTGTCTGATTTATTCCCTTTATAAATAACCTTAATAACATTAAATTGAGAATAGCTAAGAAACAAAGAGCAACAACATCTTTGTGAAGGATGGTGTTTTTTCTAAAGGAGAAACTTCATCAAACAGTTATCCCTGATGTTGACCCGTCAAAAGTGAAAATCTTCAGCAAAAGAGGACTTTTACCACTCAAGGATTGAAAATTATAAGGACACCAAAGTCTGAAGAAGACCCTTAATTTCCTTAATAAATAAATATTAGATTTTTTGCACTGTTTAGAAGCTAAGTTAGTGTAAACTTTAATTTTATTTTTGGATAGTCTGAAAATATCTCTCACCCACTGTAAAGCATACTATGAGGAGATATCCATTCATACGTTCTATTCGAGTTCAGCTACAGCTAGTTTATTAGATTAGATTATTAGATTTATTAAAGTATCCAAAGTTATCTATGAAACTCACTACCACATAAAACACTCCATTGACAATATTGTGTTTTCTTCTCTCACTTCCAGCCACCACATAAAATCCATCTTGAGTTACAGCGATGAAGAAAACTGCATCAAAAGCCTGCAAAATTGCAGTAATGGTCAATTTATGCATTTTTTATTCCAGTTTTCTAGCTTGAAACACGTCATATCACAATTCCAATAAAACCAAACTCTTCTTAGGATAGTATTTGTTCAGCGTAGACACTTCAGCTTTCAGCACCCATCTTTTGATATGAAAAAGAATAATAATTTGGGTGCCTAATTTTGCCTACCTTTAATTTAGACTAATGAACATATACCTTGAGTTTGTTCGTAAGGAAATCTAACATATTGCCTCTGTGTTTGAATATAGCTTAGAGATTTCTAGAGCAACATATTCTAGAGACTCAACTCAGATATAATATTTTTGTACACTTATGCGATAAGCTTATTTATTTTATAAGGATACCATTGGTTTTTAGAAAATAGTTATTTAATTCTATAATCATTGATACTACTCCTGTAATTACAAGAGTACCAAAACAGACATCAAAATTAGCTCCATTTTTATGTTTGATTAAACTCTTACATTGGCCAATGCAAAAAATGAATACATTCTTTAAAGCTTGTTAAGTGAAACATTTTTGAATTTGATAGTTGGAATTACCTTAGGTGATTCTGACAGAGTTTGAGGCCTGTCAAGCTCTTTAGCAAGCAGAGCATCATCTTCAACATGTCTTGATCTTTTCTGTGAAAAAATGAGACAAATATTCATTAGTAAACTTCTAATGAAGTAATGAAGTGATTGTCAATTTTGGTAGATAACTTGCTAATACAAATACTTCTACTTTAATAAGCTCATACCTTATACCATAATAATTGTGATTATGATGTGTCCCATTTATTTGTGTGTGTTTTTTATGTTGGTAAAACTATTTTTACTGGAGCGGATTTAAATGCTCAAGGATTTTTTTTTAGTTGTATTCTAAATAAATAATAAAAAAAACCATAATTTTTAAATAGGACAAACCGTAGGCTCGTCGAACAGACTGTGGTAAGGAGTTGGCTAATACAGAGTACATTTAATAAAAAGTGTAATTGACTTAGGATATTGAATTAAAAGTCCATTCTGTCAAAGCTATACAAGGCATCACACTTCATTCTACACTCATACTTAGATAAAAAATATGCACATAGGCGTAGTCCCTATATCAAATAAATATGAATATGAATGAGCAACATTTAGTTTTTTTTTTACTGTGATAGATGAAAATGATGTTACACAAAAGATCCAACAGATTCATAACTGAACCTTTTGATTTGACTTGATTTAATAGTTGCAGAGCTTTTTTTATCTTCTCATATTCTGTTCCTCCAAAGAGTCAGTTTTCTATGCAATTCTAGAAAATTGTTCTGAAAGATATTGAAAGATTTTAGTACAGATCTAAATGAGACAAGAGAAAACGCCCTTAAATCCATGGTGAGAAGCAGACATTTTCCATCAGGCAAAGCTTAGACATTAATTAATTTATACCTTCCTTAAGTAGAGTACACATCGAAATATCCAATATTTCAACAAGAAGAATTTTCCTGGTCTTCGGTAGATTCCGTAGATAGGACGAGTGTCAGTTTTGAGAAATAAAAAAGTAGTAAAGGCAGCCAAAACAGTGAAACCTGCTGTCACTAACAACATAGTTACTTATAACTGTTGGTGATAAAATTTGAAACTTGAGTTATCAAAATGCTGTTTATCAATGTTTGCTCTAGACAATCTTCAGTTTGATGATAACAAAATGATCAAATACTTTTTAATAAGGAGGGATTACAGCGGATTGTAATAGCTATAAGTCAGTTAATTAATTAACCAAGAACCTGTTATCTTTTGGAAATTTTACCAATAAAATGTATTATATTCACTTTCAAAAAATTACATAGTGAATGTCATATTAAAAATTTTGTTAACACTTATTGTCAAAATATTTATTTTATTAACTGATAGAAACTCTTGAACTCAATTAATAGGGGATACCTTACATTCTTCTGCTGATTGCAATAAACATTTTTTATAATTTTACTCACCCATGATTCTCCCTAAAGGCAAACAACAAATGTGTCTAAATTCAAATTAATGAGAAGATTTTTGAAAAATATTCTATTTTTTTCTATTGTGATTAATTTACAAATTTATATTTATTTGGCAATAACCATAAATTTATAATTTTTGTATCATTCCAGTTTCAATAACTTTATTTATTTATATTATTTACCATTTTTTGTTGCCCGTGTTCTTGAGCTGGGCAAAATGCATAGGGTACAAACTATAGTAGCTCAAGGACGCAGGCAACAATAATACCCCCGTCGCAGCAAACCTGCATACTAAGCGAATTTCCATTCACCAGGCTCGATTTCTACTAAAATATTCCCTATAAATTTTCAGATTTATTTCCTATTTAAATAACATTAATTTTAGTGAGTAGTTAGGTTTGCTGCTACGGGAAAGATGTTGAGGTGTGTTTTTTCAATTGAAATATTGATAGCTTAGTATGAAATAAGCCAAATTGCCAAATTTGATTAAAATATATCCATAAACAAGCAAACTAGAACAGTTTATTTATTCTCCATAAGAATAACATGGGAATTTTAAATTTACAATTTCTTTAATTTTCTCCGTAGTCAATGAACATTTAAAAAAACTTCAATATACTAAATTATTTGTTTTTTTAAGCTCTTCAAAATGGTCTAGAGAGAAATTTAGAAATTTAAAGTTTTTGGGGTCAAAAATGAGAAAAACCCATTTTTACCCCATAAAACCCCCCATAAACCCCTGATCCCATGGTCCGATTATGCTGGTTTGCGAACTCGTTCGAATAAATGTAGGTTTACACGTTTGTACCAAATTTCATCAAAATCGGATCAATTTTGCTCGAGTTATCGCGCTAACGGACACATATATAAATATATATATATATATATATATATATATATATATATAAATATATATATATATATGAATTTGAACGGATGGTGTTTTTGGCCTCTGGGGACCTCAAAACGAAAAAGTAAATCGGTCCCGGGTCTAGGTCTTACCATGAGACCTACGGTAATAGCTTATTCCCTATATGGGAAATTCGCTAAAAGGTAATTAACCTAAATTTATGTGGTTTAAAACCACTTTCAAGCTAAATCAGTATTTTCGGACTTCGACTAAGGTACAGTACCATAAACCTTTGGGCAGTAAAGAAGATGAAAGCTGGAAAATAATTTATTTCTGAAAAATAATTGTAGAAAAAGCAGTTGCTTCAAGCTGGGGAAGATATTTGGTCCATTTGTTGTATGGCTGTGGCCACTCCGTCAAGTATGATCTGTGCATCCTGTTGGCAAGCGATGAGAGCTCGATCGGCCATCAGCCCCAGCTGTAATCGGCCTGCGTAACTCAGCACTGTGACTCCTATACCTGTAAAACATATAACATGGTTATTATCAAGAGGTGGTTTCTGTCTGTATATCTGCGTGTTTGTTCCAGGAAATTGGAAAAACTATACTAATCCTAACTTCTAAGAGTTTTAAACAACTAGGGGATTTTAAAATAAAACAATAAGATATTTTTTATAGCAGTCAAGTGCTAAATGGAATTCAAACTTTTACAAAACAATTATTTTAATGTAGACCCTTTGGCAAGCTCAGCAAGCTCTGGTTTCCAAATATTACAAAAAAAAAATTACAAGTCCACTTTTTAAATCCTTTTGACATTTTATATTATATCATTCTCTATAAAATTATTTTATCCCTTTTTCAAAACATCATACTGAATAACCTATTTTAATTTTTACAAAATATCAACAGAGCTGCACTTTAAATTTAGATTTTTTAAATAAACATGTTAGCATTTGCATCACAGGTACTCTGAATTGTGCTTATTGTAAGATTCTTGGTGAGCCTTGATAACATGATGGCTAATCGGTTAGTAATCATTACTTTGATAACTTGTCCCTCAACAAAGGGCACCTCAATATCAAGGCTTTTTCTCTTATCCCTTGAGACATTTCTTATCAAGGTTCTACTGTATCATACCTGTAGTTGTTCGGTTGGGCACCCAGAAGACCAGATCGTGCAGTGTGTGTCCAGCCAGTTTGGTAAGTCTCGTTGGTCCAGGGAGATTGCTGAATACGAGGGTGCTGTGAGTGCTGCGTAGTAAAGGTCGCAGGACCCACACAGGTAGCAGGCTGGCCACCACACGAAGCAACCAGTAATTGATCAAGTAGTCCGGTGACTTCCGCAGCAAGTCACAATGTTTCCGAACCTGCCGCAGTTTGCTGAACAGCCTCAACTTGCCGTTACTATCACTTGCAATTGGCAAAGGTAACATCGCAACGGAAAACTTATTCTCTAATTTGCTATCTCTCTCGTGTTTAGTGATTTTTGTAACTTTAGTGGAGAAGTTTTTCGCTCTAACTACATGTGTTGCAGCTTGCGTTTCAAAAGGGGCTAGTCTGGCTGGGATCACAGCTGTGATAAACGGTGGTACTTCGTTGCATTGTGTGTAGAAGGATTCCAAACTGGAAGACAGAGCTGTGAGTAATACGTCAGAAAAGCGAACTCCAGTTTTTCCTCGGATTCTTTTAATCATAGACATCAAAAGCTGGTCGGAGTTATCTTGCTGTTCAAAGTACCAGGCGACCACTTTGTGGCCAGATAGTCTTGGTCCATGTAGAAGGTTTACATCTTGAGTCTGGGTTAGGGCTTGATTAAGCAGTGACGCAGGAGCGAAAAGCAAAATGGACCATTGGCTAAACAGAGCTCTCAGAGAAGCTAGAGTTCTAGATATAAATGTTATCAACTTACAAAACCCACTTGTGCTTTTCTTCACAATCCAGTCGACAGTTTTATTCGAGTTCTTCTGCACAAACTGACTTTCAAGCTTTGCCGCGTTGTTCATCATATCCAGGAATTCTCCGCTGGGGCGGTTATTGACAACTATGTCAAAATCCTTAAAGCTCGATTTACTAAGTTTACTCTTGAAATCTTTTGTTTCGTCAATAAATTTCAAAACTTTGTGGCAAGCTTTTTGAACACTAGTTTTTAAATCTGCTTTGAATGAAGAGTCGAAAGTCGTACACGAATGTCTCCTTTGTGGGGAAATGGAATCTACTGGGATATCGAGGCAGATAGACTGGAAGTCGCAGGAATTTGACTTTGTGTATCGCGGAATATCGGATTCTTGCCAAGACGATATCACATCTTCAGGCTCTTCTGGTATCACGGGTGTTTTTGATCGCACAAAGTTCTTGTTGAAGCTAGGTGAGCTACATCGTAGAGGCATGGGTACAGGGGTGCTGCACCTTGTGCAAGGATCACTGAGGGCCTCCAGGAGTAAGTTTACCAAGGCTACGCCGTCTCCGATGCTGTGATGAACTCTGAATAACACTGGGTAGCGTACACCAGCGCAAGACTTAGTGATCCATCCACCGTTCTCCATCGCATCAAACAGATCCGAGGACGGCTTGATGGGATAGCGGCCGACAAGGATTTCCCAACCAGCTGTGTGATTCACGGGAAGCGGAGAGTTCATAACGGATGAAATATAGTTTTGCAAAGCTGTCTCTGTGATGGCGTTGTCTCCCTGGTCTTCGATGTCCATCCAACGGATGTATTCGTTGATGTTGAGGGATTCTTGCTTTTCCCAGTAGAAAAATCCGAGGGATTGTTTACGGAGGGAGAGCAACTTCGGAAAGGGAGCAGGGGTTGTTACGAGGCGATCTTGGATGAGTTCGGAGATGGTCATCAATGGTTCATCATCTGAAATTGAGAAAAATTTTCAAAATTGTAGGCTTTGGAAAGTTCATAGGTTTTTGTCTAACTTATCCTATTCGTAAATAGTAAAGTATTTATTCTTTTCACTATCTTCGTTCATACAGTAAAACATGCACGCAACCATGCTTAGAAGAAAAATTCTCACTCTATTATAAAGTACCACTTTATTGGTGTTTGACCATTTTTAATCGGTATCCGCTTTATATTAAATCAATTTTGTAGCTAATACTTTAATGTACAAATTTAAGCAAGATGTATTTTGTTTTTTGTAATACCTATCTGAGAGGTTAGTGTTGAGATATTAATTTTAAATTCATTGCTTTACAACAATTACAAACTCAAATATTGGTATTGGATTCTAGGATAAGCAAGACGTGCTTGAACCAAAGAATAATTGGAAAATGAGTGTAGAATTTGTATGATCCATTTACTCCAGACCTGTGTGGTCGGTACTGACTAAATTTTTTTTCATCTATTAATAAACAAATTTTGGTTGAGAAAATCTACCTTGGGTCGAGGTAGAAACGATAAAACTGAAGTCAGCCAGAGCGAGAACATTGATGATGGAGAGAGATGTGTCGTCCTCAAGGGCCCAGAAAGCATCAGTTCCGTAGAGCATTCCGGCAAACTTGTGTCCCAAAGAGGTGCGAAGGACAGCAGACACTGTCCGACGGTAGCAGGCGCAGACGAGTAGCATGGAGCCTACCACTGGGGCTAGTACCAAGGTCATCACTAGGCTGGCTAGGGCCAACAGAGTCGTCATACCCTGCGAGACAGTGTGGGCAGAGTGAGGAATCACAAGGTAATTCGGTATCGAGGAGCTAATTGAAAAACTTTTAACTCTATGTTGAACAAAATGCATAGTGTAATGAAATTCCCACTTAATCTTTTACCTTTAACTCTCCATTCAAGCATATAATTTCTTCCCTGCAGAAAATTATCTTTAGCAAATAAGACAATAATAGGTTTTTTACATACCTCAGTCAAATAGTCCAAAAATGGTATTGCTCAACAGCTTACATGTTTCGTTGCGAAGACAACATTATCAAAGCTTGCAACTCGTCAAAAAATTGTGTTTTAAATGTGTTCTTGACGAGTTGCAAGCTTTGATAATGTTGTCTTCGCAACGAAACATGTAAGCTGTTGAGCAATACCATTTTTGGACTATTTGACTGAGGTATGTAAAAAACCTATTATTGTCTTAACAATATAGTCCAGGGGCCGAAAACATGAATTTTGATTGTTTAGCAAATAACAGTGAAAGAGTACAAGGTGTCCGCATTTGTTCAAAATTCATCTTTGAGATTTTTTTTTATTTTTGGAGTAATAACTCAATAGATAGCAACTTCCACTACGTTCCATCCTCTTAAATTCAAGCCATCATTGTGTGAATATTTTGTTACGTTACTTCAAAATGGCTCGTTCATCAACCTTTTGAGCTTAAATGAGCTACCTTTATTAAAAGTTTTTAAACTATTCAAACTTTAACACAAATATAAAATTTCTCGACAAAACTTCAAAAACTACAACACAAACTTCTTTTCCACCGACTCACCACTTTGGTCACTTGACAGAGGTGAGCGTGGATGACGAGTACGCAGATCATCGCTGCAGAGATGACAACGTCTGCTTGTAGCCATTCTTCTCTTCCGATCGGAGACAACATCGGAACGTTGGTGTTGTTAGTAGTTACATTGTCAGTTGGGTCGAAGTGAGGCAACCATCGAACCACTCCAAGGCGAGACATCTCGTAGGAACTTTATTGTTGAGGATTTCAAAGAGATTGTCTGGAAATGAAAAGTATATACTTTTAGATACTTAAGTATACGTCCCTTCTATATGGATCAGCTGTGGAGTCACGAATTGGAACATAATTGAATGATGCATTCAAAGAATACATAAAGTTATATTTTCATCTTCTTTTTTACTGTGATAGTTGATGTTATAAAAGATACTGTACAACATGCTGTCTATTTAATTTGGCAAGGACTCAGTTTTTTTAAAGTCTGCATATTTAACAGAGAACAGTAATTGACATAAGCAGGCTCATTGGTAGTTCAATTAAACTATATCAATTTTATATTGTAAAACTATCTTTTCAATATAACAAATTAGGTACAGTTAAATAAATTAGCCAAGGATAAAATGTACCCTAAGAAAGAGGTAGGTCCCTATTAAAATTTGTTTGTACAGCGTTCTAAGATTTTATGAATTACTATTTTATTAAATTGTTGATGTTCGTATTTAATAGATGATAGTTTATAGAAATTAAAATTAAGATCTTTGTTAAGATAGTTGTCTAGTTTTGACTACACTCTACTTCTGGTCTACTCACTGAATGTTATGCTGGTGAAGGGGGACACGGAAGCACTGAAGGGGTAGTCTAGTCTACCCTAGGGCTTCAGGTCTTGTTGAATTAACCACTCGAGGTAATCCCGTTATCTTAACCTCGTTACCTCTTTATTTATAGGTTGTTGCTCTATGATGCACCCACGTGTTTTACCCTATATTCTTTCAATGTAGGTCAGGACAAATTTAAAATACCCCTGCTGCAGCAAACCTGCAGACTAAGCAAATTTTTTTGCCTTTTGGGATTTTCGATTTTTGCTAAAATATAACCTTAAAAATGTCATGTTTAACCCTTACAAATAAAATTTGGATTAACAAGTGACAAGTACCTAGGTTTGCTGCTACAAAAAGTGTTGAGTACAATTTAATATTTGCCACATGTCTGTTTTTAATGTTATACTTCAATGATGAATACCAGATGGTTAAATTGTTAAATGTGTTGTTAAAAACAATAATAGTTTTAATGTATGTCTTCTTTAGTTGGTTCAATTAAAAGTGTTGAGTTTAATAATTCAGTTTGCCCTTTTATTTTATTGAGCTAGGTATTTTAATTTAGTGTCCAGGGAAACCACATATTTACAGGTTATGGGCCCAGGGCTGTTTAAATACGGAATTTGTTAATATTTTTTTTACCTGGCTAATGAAATTGAATTAATATGGCAACTGAACATGAAAAGTATCGAATACCATTGTTGGATGGAACCAATTTCAGCAATTGGAAATTTAGAATTGAAACTCTGCTGGAGGAATTAGAATTATTATCTTTTGTAAAGGAATCTTATGTTACCAAAGTTGAATTTCTGGATAAAGACACAGATGAACAACGAGAGAGGAAGGAAGCAAGGTTGTTGGAATTAGCGAAACAAGATCGAAAGTGCAAGTCGCAGATTATACAGCGTATTGCCGACAGCCATTTGGAATATGCAAAAGACAAGGCAACTGCTTTTGAACTATGGCAATCTCTCTGCAACACTTTTGAAAGGAAAGGAATAGCTAGCCAACTTCTACTAAGGAAGCAGTTACTAACAATGAAGTTTGATGCGAAGAATGATGTTTTAAATCGTCACTTTCTGAAATTTGACAAAGTCATAAGAGAGTTAAGATCTACAGGAGCAACTGTCGAGGAATCTGACATTGTTTGTCATCTACTACTGACCATGCCCAAAGAATATGACGTCGTTGTCACGGCCATAGAGACTCTATCAATGAAGGATTTATCTCTAAGCTTTGTGAAGGTCAGACTGCTGGAAGAGGAGACAAAGAGGAGGGGCGTTGGAAAAATTGAATTTGATTGTACATCACCTCCTACTGCCTTCCAGTCTCAACCAGGGAAAAAGAAAAATTTTCCAGGAAATCAAGGAACTTCTGGCAACTCGTTCAATTTCACTTGTCACAGATGCGGAAAGCTTGGACACAAACGAGCTAACTGCAGAGTCAAATTACCACAGAACCCATCAAAGAAAAATAATTCTGCGAACGTGGTCGACACCAAACAGGAAGATGCATTTTGTTTTGGAGCATCAAGTGAAGACTGTTCAGCAGATACCATAAATTGGATATTAGACTCTGGAGCAACAGAACATCTGGTTAACAGTAATGAGGTATGTCTCTCTAACTTTAAGAAATTAGAACAGCCTATTAAAATCAAAGTAGCCAAGTCTGGAACTTATCTTGAAGCAAAATGTAAAGGGGAATTGTATGTCACTAGTGTTGTTGAAGGGAAGGAAATTAAAATAACAATCAAAGATGTTTTATCTGTACCTGGAATTAGTCACAATTTACTTTCAGTAAAAAAATTGGAAATGAATGGTTTTTGTGTTATCTTTCAAAATTCATGTGGCTTGATTAAGAAAGATAATCAAACTGTTGCGGTTGCAAAAAGAAACAATTCTCAGTTATATATGTTAAATTTTTTGCAACACAAAGCTTTGTCAGTGTCTTCAACTGAAACAGAAATGAAGCTGTGGCATGACAGGCTTGGTCATTTGAGCTATGGTTGTATTAAAAGTCTCAGGTCGCAGGTAGATGGGATGGAGTTAAATACATCAACATTACCCTTAGAAAAGTGTTCAAAGTGTGTTGAAGGGAAACAATCACAATTTCCTTATAATCAGAACAGGAGACGTGCCACCAGACCTCTTGAGTTGATTCACAGTGATTTGTGTGGTCCAATCTCACCAGTTTCATTTGACGGTAAGAAATATATCATCACTTTTATTGACGACTTTACTCATTTCACGGTGGTCTATGCTCTAGAATCGAAGGCGGAAGTCACAAGATATGTCAAGATGTATCATGCTTTGGCTACATCTCATTTCAATCTAAAGATTAGCAGATTTTGTTGTGACAATGGTCGTGAATACATGTCAAATGAGTTGAAGCAGTTTTTTGAGGAGCAAGGAATTCAGTATGAGTTCACAATCAGATATACTCCTCAACAGAACGGTGTCTCAGAACGAATGAACAGGACTATTGTTGAAAGGGCTCGTTGTTTAATACTTAATTGTGAATTAGGTAAGACATTTTGGTCAGAAGCTGTTCGAACTGCCGTATATCTAATCAACCGAAGTCCGACATCAGCTTTAGGAGGAAAGATCCCTGCTGCTTTATGGTACAATGAGAAGCCTAATCTTATTAAGTTAAGAGTTTTTGGCTGTGCAGCATATTTGCTGTTACCTAAGGAATTAATATCGAGTAAATTTGACAGCAAGTGCTTGAAGTGTTACTTTACTGGATATTGTCCTAATGGTTATCGACTGTGGTGTCCTGAAGAAGGAAAAATAATCACTGGAAGAAATGTTGTGTTTTATGAGGAAAAATTTAACTTTGAGAGCACACCAATTGAAGACTGGATTCCCGATCATGTACATGAATCCAGATCGAGTAAAAAGGAAGACAAGAACAAAGAAGAACCCAGATCATTGTCTTATGAAAATCAAAGAATTTCTATACCAGATCTTGAAGAAGAGGAAGAAGAAATTGAAGATCATGTAAGTGAAGAAGAAACAATAAGACACTCTACCAGAAAGAGGAATGTGCCAAGATACTTACAGGATTATGCAGTTCTTGCTCTGAATGCTGAATCTTTTGTCGATGATGTACCGCAAAGTTACAAGGATATTGCAGCACGTGATGATAAGGATCATTGGTATCAAGCTGTTAAGGAAGAACTTAACTCTATAAAGGAAAACAAAACTTGGACTTACACTGAACTACCACCTGGAAGGAAAGCTATCTCCAGTAAATGGGTTTTCAAATTGAAGAAAGACATGGACGGAAATATTGAACGATACAAGGCAAGACTTGTTATCAAAGGATGTTCACAGAGAAAGGGTTTTGACTATGAAGAAACATATGCTCCAGTGGTTCGTCTTGCAACAGTTAGGGTGTTGCTGGCTGTAGCAAACGAACGTGGATTAATTCTTGAACAATTAGACGTCAACAATGCTTTTCTTCATGGTGAACTGAAGGAGGAAATATATATGTCCATTCCTGAAGGAGTTGAAGGAACACCCGGCTCCGTTTGCAAATTGCAAAAGGCGCTATATGGCTTGAAACAGGCACCATTAGCATGGAATCAAGCTATTCATTCATTTCTCATTTCAGTTGATTTCACCCAATCAGAATCCGACAAATGTCTTTACGTTATGATACAAAATGATATTGTCGTGTATCTTGTGCTCTATGTTGATGATATTCTCATGGCAGGAAATAAGGAGAAAATCAAGGAAATTAAAGTAAAGTTGAATGAGAAGTTTAAAATCAAGGAATTGGGAGAACCAAAAACATTTTTGGGAATCGAAATCTCCAGGAGTGAGGGGGAAATGTACTTAAGTCAGACTGCCTACCTAAAGAGTCTTCTTAAACGATTTAACATGCAAGATTGTTGCCCAGTCAAAACGCCAATGGAAGTAAAACTAGAAATCAAAGGCGGAAAAAGGACTGATAAGCCGTGCAGAGAAGTAATCGGATGCTTAATGTATGCAATGCTAGGTACAAGGCCAGATTTGAGTGCTGTAGTAAATTTCCTAAGCAGGCATCAAAGTGACCCAACAGAAGAACTCTGGAAATGTTTGAAGAGAGTCCTAAGATATATAAAAGGAACAATCGACTTAAAATTATGTTATCGAAAGAGCAAACAAGATGACATTATTCTGGCTTACGCTGATGCAAACTGGAATAAAAGTGGAGATTCAAGATCGACCTCAGGTTATCTCATACAAGTGTTTGGAAGTACTGTAAGTTGGGCAACAAAGAAGCAATCTAGTGTTGCGTTATCATCTACAGAGGCGGAATATGTAGCTTTGGCAACAGCAGCAGCCGAATTACTCTGGATGAAGTATCTGATAGAAGATTTTCAAATTTTGCTTAAGTTGATCCGCATCCTGGAAGATAATCAATCTTGCATACGACTTCTACAGAAGTGGGTGGATTAACAAGTGACAAGTACCTAGGTTTGCTGCTACAAAAAGGGAACAGTTTTTTTGTAAAATGTTAATACCATAGTATGAAAAATCAATTACCCAAATTTAATCAAAACACATCCTTTATTTATTTTTATATAATAATAATGTAAGAATTTTAAATTTACAATTTTGTGGAATCTTCTCCATATCCATTAAGCGTACAACAACGCTTCAATATACTTAACTATTTGTTTTTTGAAATTTAAACAAAAGGCCACTTTGGAGTGAGATGCCGAGATTTCCTGGATTTTAAATATGACCCTTTATTCAACTTCTATGAAAAGTATATTCCTCTTAAATAAGGGAACCCATCTCTTTGCTAGAGTTCTCTCTCCATAAAATAATTAATCCAAAAGTAATTCCACCAAAATAAGGCAAAACATGGGTAATTAAATAAAACTAAATACTGAAGATAAACTTACTTTTACTTGGACAAATTTACAATAATACTTCACAAAAAATGACTAGCTCATAATATAATTGTATAATAGAGTTTTAGCGGATCACATAACTCTAACTACTACTCTACATCCCAGTTTGAAGAACTTCAATTATATTAGATTACCTTTGTTGTTGTATCCTGTAGTTCTTGGGGCAACAACAAACATCTTACCTAGGCCTACTCAATAACTACAGGATACAACAACAAAGGTAATCTAATATCAATCTAACTTATATACTTTAAACAGTCACAAACCTAGGGTTTCGACTGTTCCCTCGACAAACATAATGTCTCTAGATTAGAAATATACAATAGTAATACAGTAGAGTCCCGCAAACTCTGCGTAATGTGGACTGGAAGGGTGCCGAGTTTGTGAAATGCCGGGTTATCGAGAACTAGAGTTAAAAATAAAGACAATACAATTTTTGAGGTTTTTAACCGCTTTTGAAAATTAAATTTATATTACAAGTCAGTATTAAGTCATCAAATATAGTACAACAAATCCTTAGTACGAGTTGCAAATGATTATACTTGAGCTGGCTTGTGTCCATGTTTAACTCGGACTCAAAAAATCACTAATTATCTGACCAGGTGATTGCCGAGTTATCCAGACTGCCGGGTTATCGAGTGCCGAGTTTGCGGGACTCTACTGTAAAACAAATAATATTTATAAAGCAATACTACTCTAATGGTAACAAAATGTAATTCTGTCAGTTAGTAAATTAACCATACATGTTGTAAACTTAAATTTACAAGTATTTTTTCAACCAAGTAAGGACCTGTAAATCTATTAAATAATTCTTAAATAAACTAGAAGTTATGAAGAAACATTACAGTAGGAACAAACAAACAATTGTAATACTGTACTTCAATTTTTGTTTAGTTATTAGACAACAATTTCACTCTGAATAAAGTAGATAAGGAAATATCTACAAGCATAAAATGTCAAGACAATTTATAAATTTCCTATAATTACTGTGTGCACTAGCCAACCTAGAATTCAAACTAGAATTCAAAATATGATCTATTGGCTCACGATTCATCTATGACGATCACCTATATAAATAATCAATCTTAAAATTCTGTGCTGCGAATCTAAGATTCAAAAACCATTGTGCAGTTTTAAATACCTTAAATGGTAAGCGAATAACAGGTAACCGTTGTTATAAACATACATACTTAACTATAAATATATCTCACATATAAATACTATACAAAAAGAAAAATACTTGTTTAACAAAAACTTTAATAACTACTCTATTGGTAGGCTTTAGAGTTCAGACTAAACAAAAAACATTAAAGATCATGTATATTTATTAATTTTTTTTTTATTATAAAAATTTTGGGTGAATATTTAAAGACTTCCTTTAAAATACTGTATTTAAAAAATAAGTCTAATGGTTTAGTGATTCGGCATTTGGCGATACACGGATTTCTTTAAAATATCCACACACAAATTCTGTATACAGGAGGCTAAAAGTTATTTGTAACCCTAAAGTAAATTTCAGCAATTCAATGTCATAAACAAATAAATATGTTATGTTTTTAAAAACCGCACAGCTTTAACTCTTGATTTTAGTTTGAAGTTAAATAAACAGATCACTATGTAGAAACCTAAAGCATTTTTACAACAGTTAATCATTTGTTACGCTCATCAATCATTTAATCTCAAACATTCACACTCATAAACCAAGAGCCGATGATAGCATTCATAAATGTTTAATTAAATAAATTAAATAAAGTGTACACAAACTACAATTGAACAAAAGAAACTAATATAAATGAATCTCCCATCCTACACAAGAATGGAATTTTTGGACATGTACAACAGAGATAAAACAGCTGTTTGGTATAAATCAGCTGTATTTTGAAAGTGTGTAATTGTTTTATTAGATTAGGCATTAAACAGATTTTTTTAAATCATTACTTTTAATACTTTTAACTGAAATGGCGACCATAATTATGAAGGTAGGTATTTTAAGCCAAGTAGGAATTGAGATAAGAGAAGGATGAGTGGCGCTATCTTGTAGTATTGTTAGTGACTAACCTTAGACACAGCTGTTAATTAATAGCCAATACAGCTAATGGAAACTAAGGAACCTACAGTTTATATTGGAATCCGGACCACATTTTTGCCTTGTACGGTAATTTACGAATTGGTCTAAATATCAAAATAGTACTGCATACAGTTGTAGTACTCACTAGTGCGGACGTTAATCCACACCAGAGAGTATCACATCCACAGATCATGCCTATAAATATCCACATTCTCATGGTCAATGATATTCCAGCCCACCGATGGACATGAAGACATCTTTCTTTCCAAATCAAAGTACCCTTGAAAATATTACGATCATTATTATTTTATAAGTAAAATATTGTAATGGTTGGGTAGAGTTAAAAGTGTCTTGTGCTAGGATACTCTTTTACATTCAGATCAGCCTACTACTTTTCTAAAAAAATCTTTGGAATTCTATACTGATGGGTTTTTGAGAGGTAGATTTATATTTTTGTGAAGAGCTATTCAAATATCAGAAGAGTGAAATGGAATATTTTTTATAGCAGGCTCTTGGTCTTTTATTGATCAAGCTTGGCTTACACAAAACTATTTTGTTCAACCATTTCTTCCAATAAATAGAAACAAACTCATTTTGATCTCACAAATCATACAAACATCCCATTGACAGCTTAAACCACAAAACTACATTTCCAAACAGTGTTAAGAAAGACACACCAATGTGCGTGGTCAAAATATATTCTGTCAATCCATTAAAAATGTAACTTTCATAAAAAACTACTGCCTTTTTAAAGACACACAGCATTCTATCGTTGCGATCCATGTTACACATTATACGTAAACATTAGCACCATGAAACATTGAACGGCTTAGTTACAACGAGACAACGACGTAAACAGTCACCATAGCTAGGTACTCATACTGTTGAGGTGAACTAGCAGATTTACGCCGGTTCTGTTCTCTTATGTCAACTTTGTCCGTGAGTGTGGTCGTCCTCCGATTCCATAGGAGAGATGCGGATAGCTTGGTACCACTGTTGTGTCAAATCGTTCATCTGCGTCTTACAGTCCTTCAACTCCTGAAAATTGTATTTTGGTAATGGTTTAGTTGAAATCAAGAATTAATTTATGCTAGAGTCTCGATTATTTGATCTTTGGTTATCCAACCTATCATGTTGACAATTATTAAGAACAGAGGGATTTATAATTCCGTGAACTTACATACTATCGACAGTACTTGGAATTTACGTGTTATGCCTTAGGTGCCTGCACTTGACTGTACTTTCTAGTTTAAACTCCTCACACTGGCAAACGTCTTTGTTACCTCTAACTTTGTGTGAGAGAAGACCTGGGACTGAGTGGACAGGTTGGTTTATAGTCCAAAAATTAATCCGTTTGAGAGGGAGGTTCCCCCACTACTTTTTTTGCTTATTTGGTGCAGCTGATTGATGTTATGGCAAAACTCAGCTGTTGAGCAATTTTTTTAGGATAAGATTAAGTGGAGGGAATAGATGTCATCCCCCTAAACCACCTAAATTTTGTGAATACAGCAGTGGTGTTCTTATTTTGTTTTGGTTTCGATCAAGATCATTGCTTCATAACAAAAGAAATGTTTAAGATAAATATACTTTTAACGTAATTAAATGTCCATTTTGAAGGTTTTCCATTTTTGAATATACCAATTAATATTTTTATTTTTACTAGGGGTCTGCAGTACAAATTTAAGGTTGGTACGAGATTACCAGTATTTTGTAGGTATGAGTTGTACTTTACTTAACCCGAATATTATTTGCTGATAGTGTGGCTAAAAGTATTTTATGCGACTCATCTGCGATAGTTTTCAAGGTACAAGTATCATGGTACTCATGCTTGGCTTGCCAAGCACAGGATTTCATGCTCAGCAGGCCTCTCACAAAAACTATCATGCTTGTACCATAAACACCAAGTTCCCGGCCTTGAGGAATAATATACTATTATTATTTAATAATAGTACCTATATTATTATTTAATGCCTTTATATAAAACATTTAAAATGCCATTGACATACATAGAGAAAATAAAATAAAACCAAATGTGATCTATTTTACAGTTCTATCCAAAATAGACATTTGTATGGTAAAATTTTACCTGTTGGGTGAACCTGCGAGTGAAGAAGGGGATGAAATATTTCAGATCATACTTGGCAAAACCTCTTATCCTCGACTGAAGGAAGTTCACTTCCATCGTTTCCTCTTCAGTGTATTCAGAAAGATGTTCCGAGTCGATAGCTTGCCCCTGCACAGAAATATCAAAAATTCAAACCACCAAAAAACAATGTAACTAAAAAACCAGGGATAACTAGACAAATTACCAAAATTTCTTTTATCTAAAAATTTGATTATATTTGTGTCGGGTTCATTTAAAATGCATTAAACAACGTTTTAGAAGTATTAATTGTGAAAACAGTAAAGTTATAACCTGCAATATAGAACACAATTGTAGTATGCCTATAGAATGTTTGAAACATTATAGTAGCATAGAAGTATGTTTCTACTATTTATTTACTACTTCCTTGGATCTGCGGAATATAAAATCAATTGTGAATATCTTTTATGCTTTTCACTAACTGGAACTGTCTTCTCAGATAGTAAGATAAAAAGATAGTCATTTTTCCATTCCTTCTTCCTTATGTGTTTGTAAGCGAAAAAACACAAACACAAAACGATTTGTCTAAGCAAAATAACTGCTCTCTTTACAACAAACAGTATGTCAAAAAGCATAGATTATAAACTCACCCATTCTCTCGTCTTACTCAAAGACAAAGCTTTCTCCTTCTTGTGCTTCCTACGTTTTCCGATCAGAGTCTTTTTCTTGTTAGCTTGCAAAAACTGAAACATACAATAATAACAAAACTAAATTAGATAGAAATAACTTTGACCTTTTAGGCATAAAACTGTCCACCCCTTTTGGTAGGTATTTATGAAAGTCTGGCAAATTATTACAATTTATTTAGCAAGAACTGTACTTTGAGGAGTTTGTCTTATTCTGTAAAAAAACCACACACTTCATTTTACACTCATCCTTTACTCATAATCAGCAATAAAACAACTATGCTGGGTAACTGAGTGGACTAATAGGCCTAATGGGCAGTTAGCTAGTTCGATCCCGAGATATGAGAGTTAAAATGTAATGGATCAAAATTGGACCAAGCTGTCCTCATTCGAACCTTTATTAAATGGTCGAGTAATTAAACTACACAGGTTATGGTAGACACTCTACTCCCAGCTTTCATATTCAGCTTGAAATAATCATTCAAATTCTGATTTCAAATTATACGTGACAACAGGTAAGTGTAAGAAAGGGCCATGTAGACCAAATATGGCTGTTAAAATATACAATTTTTCATTTCATTTCAAATCATTTAAAAGAAGTCAACTACTGCTTCAATAACTGTTTCAATAAACTGTGCTGTTACTGTTTCAATAATAGAAGGTGTCTTCTCAAAATAGTGATTCAGACATTTACAATAGTACATTCAATGTGCTAATGACTTCACAACTGATCAAACGTTGTAAGACAATAGATCAATCAATCCTATCCTATCCTATCCAACGACTCAACGAGCTAAGTCTGTTTGTCTGTCTGTCTGTAATATATATCTCGAAATCCAGCAGAAGATTTTTACTAAATTTTAGAATTATGGACTTATAGCTATAAAAAATGTGATTGGTGAAGCAAACAACTCAGAAAAATTTGTATTTCGCTACACAACTCATTTGAAAATTAAGAAATTTTACATTGGCTTATGTGTTGCAAAGTAACTATGTTGGTTGAAAAAACATACAATGAAAAAGTAAACAAAATACTTGTAACATGTGTTTACAACAAGCCATCTACAGTATACTATGAAATTACAAAATACAGTACAAAGGGAAAACATCAGTGGTCACTATTGAGCAAAGATTACACTGAAGATTACTTGGCATAGGAGAATATAGAGAGAGTGTTTCTTATTCGTGACGTTTGAGTGCACTGGCGTCAACTCAATGTTTCACTCTTATTAAGGGAAGATTAGGGGTTCCTTGTGACACTAAGTTCCTGAGTGGCGTTTTTATGTCATCCAGTAATTTATTTAAACTCATTTCTACTAAATGAAACTGAAGAAACTAACCATCATTCTTCAGTACAAAGTGCAAAATAAAACTTGACCCTGAAATAAATCAAATTAATTTAGCCAACATCAGCACACTCAAATGTAACCAGACATAAAACTTGCATGGAGACAGGCTTCAGACATTACAACAGGATGAGACTCTACTTACAAAATCTAAAGTTAACGATCAAACTTACCTTCATCAAAGGCATAGTAGAGCCACCAAAGATGAGGGTTGTTACCAAAACAATGATGAGTGTAGTAGTGATTATAACATGTCTCGTCTCATCACTGAACTCCAAATGTAGTGACAAAGCGTAAGAAATCGCTCCCCTCAAACCTGTAATAAAAATAAAATACTTTAAGTTTATACAAAGCATCCATGTAAAGATAAACGATAAAGTTGCAGAAGTAAAAAAATGAATTTCTGGAAATAACTGGTGCTCAGGGCCAATGGGAGTCCATGGATCTGATGATGAAGGGTATAACTGGTTGAACCCAACTGCAAATGAATAGTATATTTCGTACCTAGGGCCGAAAATGAGGTTTTGCCGGCTCGAGATAGTTTTTAAGTTCGAGACGAAGTCTCGAACTTAAATCGATCGAGAGCTGCAAAACCATTTCGGTCCGTGGTACGAACGCTATTTTTCACCACACTATACCCTATTACCACTATTCATCACTATAATAATGCACACTAATAGTCAACACAACTACAACTTTAAGGTTATGTGAAGAAATAATTTGAGGAATCAGCAAAAATAAGAAATAAATAGTTGCTAGGCAACGGTGACAATAACACAATTCTATTGCAATGCTATGGATTTTGATTGAGTATTCAAAATGCATTCATGTTTTAGGTAAGTAAGCGGACAGCTGATTTTGCGGCCCCGGGCTGTAAAAACCTGCTCGGTCCCCAAATTACGATGACAACTGGCGTGGCATTTATACTGCTGGTCATTCAAACTTTATAACATGGTTTAGTTAGTCAATAGAACACGGTAAGTAAAACAGGATGAAGCTAAGTTGTATAGTTTGAACTAGGCTCACATTAGAGAGGTCTACTGTAGATTAGACAGTTTATGTTTATGAGTTAACTCATGAATAGCTTTAGTGATAAGGTGAAAGTGTACTGCTTGATAACATTTACAAGCCAAACCCTTCACATGTTATTTCACATGCTACACAAATATATTCTTTTTTAGAGAAGAGCGTTCCATAAATTTGTTCCAATAAAAATTTATTCTTTTTTTGTGAATTGGACAGATCATGGATAATCTGGGAACGGAACTCTAATTTAGCTGCCTATTGAGGTAGCTGTCAATGTCATAGAAACTTGACTTTAATCTTACAGTTTTAAATTTTTTTTGTAATCGATTGGATTTTATTTAACACATGTTATATTATTACTAGCTATATAATATGGTTAAGTGGGGTTCTAAGCCGTTGAATACATAAGTTTCCCATGGCCTACTCTTTAAATGAAAGCATATCATTATCAAAAGTAGAGTATGTTCGTCCCTAATACAATTAAAAACACCAACACTTTTTTGTTTTATATTTTCACAAATAGGTACAATGAAGTCGGATATCAAGTCTTGCCAACAGTGGTTTTAACTGTTTTCATTAATTATACAATTCAAACTTTAATCAATACTCACCACTGAACCACATGATGAACTGCATTCGCTTTGTGATCTTGTGCTCGCGGAACTTGTTGACAAGTATCGCAAGAGGAAATATGTTGCAAGCTCGGCCGACCAGGCAGAGTATGAGGCTCCAAACGACCAACTCTGGCTCTACTCTGTGACGGAAACTGAAGATGGCCAGACCGAGGTACGCAAACACACAAGTCTCAGCAATGAACGCCAACGTCCGCATCGTCTGCTGCATCGTAATCTGCGTCACAGTCGACAGGTTGAAGTGTGTGTAGTGCGACATAACAATGCCGCAGAACAGTATGGCCATGATTCCTGCAGACATTTCATAATGTCAAAAAGGTTAAATGCAATCAGTGGCGGATTAGCCATTAGGCATGATAGCCAACAAATCTGCCTAGAGGCCGCTAGCAGAAAAACAAATCCTCAAGTCATATTGTGTTTACTTCAAACGAGTTGTTTAGTGTTCTGGGCAAACGATATAAACAGACTGAAAGCATAAAACACAACAGTGTAACTGATTACAGTTTAATAACATTGAGTAAAAAATAAATTTGTTTTATCATGTTTCCTTGATTTTTCCTTTAATAAAAAACAAATGGGCTGGGCAAACATAAATTAAAATTAGGCACACTTTTGAGTTGTGTGGTTTAGTTAATATTTCAATCATTAAAAGTTATTGTTTTAGGCTAAGTTGTTAGCAATAAAATTGTTGTAAAAATAGTTTGAATGCAATTTGATGAGTATTTTGTTTAAGTAGGCTAAGAAAAAATTTAGGGTCGATAAAAAAAATCAACATTTTATTTTGTTTTTAAGCTCAGTTCAAAATCATTTTATGTTTAGGCCAAGTGATTTAAATGTTTAACAATTATTTTTAAATCTCATTTCTTAACATCCAACATGATGAAGGTTCAGGTTGAAAAAAATAACTAATCAAAACTATAATGAAGGGAAATAACTTAAGACCTAAATACCCGTGTTAACTCATGTTGTGGTCTTATTCACTGAGTGCACTACCTATAAAGATTCACTGCCCACAAAGTAAATTAGGGTACCTACCTTTGAATTCAATTTCAGACCCTTAAAGGGCTTTTTCAAACAACAACGGATTTATATTTTTGGACTGCGCGTAAATAATAATAAAAGTAAAAACATGGTAACCACATAAGGTTCAACTTTTACTGCACTAAGTTAAAGCTATTAAGTTAACTTATTATCCTACATTTAATTACATAATGTTTTCTTACCGGACAAGTGAATTCCTTCTGCAAGGGCATACGGAGCGTATGTAAACACCAACATCATTCCAAATTCAAGGGACGGATTCTTCCTTAAATCAACATGTTTTAAAAGAAGGGCACTTATAAGGGCAAAAATGACTCCGATCCCAGCTGAGGCAAAAAACATTAGGCAGAACCTGTTGAAAGCAGAAAACACAGCTTCGATGGGCGACATGTCTGGTTTGTTTGATTCCAACACTGATGTTGTAAGGACAATAGCAATGGCATCGTTCAGTATACTTTCTCCAAACACTAACATGTTTAGGACCGGATCAATATCAAGTGCGTGAAATATTGCAACTGTGGCAACAGGATCAACTGCAGATATCAATGAGCCGAATGCAAAGCTTTCGATAAAGCTCAAGTGATATGCAACATCTGCTAGGCCAAGAATGTAAATACCTGTCCCAATCACCAAAGCTGAAATTGTTGTTCCTACAATTGCAAACACAAGAATGGAACCGATGTTTTGAAAAAAGTTTCCTTTGTGCAAATTGTAACCAGACTCAAAAATTATTGGTGGAAGCAAAACTAGAAAGAAGGCTGTCGGTGAAAATGCTTCTTCTTTCCGCCAATTGCCAATATTCTGATCAGAGAAAAAGTTGATGATGAATCCTATAAGAGCCCCAAGAAATATAATAACAACACTTTCAGGTAGGTACTGAAAGTTTGTCAGCAGCATCAGGTGAATTAGAAGAATTCCCAATGCAAGCACACAAAGTACGAAGAAAATTGCCATTGAGCTGTTGTGTTCGGCCTCCGCTGATCCTTTTTCTGGAAGATTAGGCTCCTTTGGTGTTGCAGTGCTGGTTGTTACGTTACTGGTATCGTTTATTACCACAGACGGTAAGGGGCTTGAGGTAAGGGTCATCGGTTGGGTGCTGTTTTTGGTGCCATCTGTTGGTTGCAACTGTGATTTCATGGAATTGTTTTTAAGCTCTGGCCCTCCTAAAGAATCCCGTGTAACATCACTGTTCTGTGTCCCATTAACAAACGCCTTGGTTTCAACCTTAGCTACAGATAAATCACCTTGTTTTTTATTTTCCTTTAAATTTTCCTGATTTTGGCTACCGATTACATTGTTTAATACTTTGATAATGTCATAGTTGGGCTTACTGGATGATGGCTTGTTCTCAACACTTTTAATGTCTGATTTATCTTCTTTCTGTTTGACACTGTCACTTGGATCAGGTTGAGTATGGTTGCTTATTGAATTATTTTTTGCATCTTGAATTTTTATGTCAGTAGTTCCAGTATCACAAAAGCAAGAGGTTATGATGACCGATAAAATTAAGCTCCGTCGCAGCATCTTTGATGGTGCAAGAAATAACATATTTACTCTAGATTTGTATACTAAATCATTAAATTTCAAGCAAAAGCACTAAACGGGTCATATCACGACTCTTATCTACACCATATTTAATTATAAGATTGCAACACCAACACCTACAAGGACGAAAATATGACGGGCAACGGGCAACTGTACAAGACTACACTATACCAACCACTTCAATCACTTCATTCAACATTTTGACGTTTGTTTCTGCGTGCGTCGTCTGCTCTGCAATTTGTATTGGGTTTTTTTTCTAGCACACGGGAGATTTTGGCAAAGAGGAAGAAGAAAATAAGTAGTTTAGAAATAGGTTCGAAATTGTTCGAAGGCCTACATACCTAATTGTGAAAGCATTGTAAAAAGTTGGGGTGTGTGGTGTTGTGCCATTTCGGTAAATGAAAAATAACTATTTCTAATCGTGTTTTAAATGGAACGTTAATCATACCTAAATTAAAGCAAAGCCTAGGCATAATAACCAAGTGTGAAAAGATGTTTTTAATTAATAAATTAATCTTAATACCCAGTTATTGTAGCAATCATTGGAAATGTACATGTCACAAACACAAAAATTGTAAACTTAAATTTCTCAGTGATGAGCCTGTTGCCTGTTGTAAAGTTACCGTCATTACTGCTTGTTACTTGTTACCATTATTACTAGGCATAGTCTTCTTGTTGTTATTTATTGTAGTTTTTAAGAGTCTTCCGTAGTGGAAGCCATGTTGGATTTCTTCCCCATAAGATTAATGTTAACTTTGGGTCCAAATATCTCATCAGCAAATTGTCATATAATTTATGGATAAGGAGTTAAATTTAAGGAATTGCGGTCCTCTAGAGATTGACGTTTTTTATGTTTTTTTTTGTCATCATGTATTTATTGCCAGCTTCCTTATTTATTATTATTGCACGATTTTTGTAACCACTGATATTAACTTATTATTTGCTACTTATGTGTATAGTTCATAGTTTGACAAAATTGTATTAATGGAGAATCCGTTGGAATAAATAAATAAATAAATGAGAAAAAAACTCCTAGTAAGACCATAGATAAAGTAGTTATTTCAAATAATTTTAATTTCTCAAAACCAAAAGACCGGATTCGCCAAAAAATCCCTTCTGAGATTTAGTTCATTAGGCAAACTCCAGAGTCCCCGGTCGTCCCATCCGGGTACTATGTGTACACATTACATGGGTTTATATTGGGACGCTGTTACTCATTTACATAGCGAGAACTTCATAGATTTTTCTCAAGTTTATGGAAAAATAAGTTTCCTCCGTTCTTCGACGTATTATATACCCATCATTTATTATATTCTCTTGACCTCTGTTGCACCATTTAGAGCAGTAGAAGTTTATTTTATTCATTGCATACTTGAATGTACATAAAATGTGCAATCTACCCTACCGACATTTAGTGCTAGCAAAATCCGCTAGGTAGCATTGCTGAACAAACTGTAGTTACAGTACAGTACGAAAGCAGGCAATTTAAAAATGCAAGTCTTCAAATCTATCTTTCACGATAAGTAAAACATAAAACCATTGACTTTGAACAACCAACAACGTAACTATGTTTGAGTTTTTAAACATTAACTGTTATTTTGCTGTTTTTTATTAGTTTATTGTAACTATTTTTTTAGTTTATTAGTTTTATTTATTTATTTTTTTTAGTTTATTAGTTAGGTACTATTTTTCAACTAATTTGACAAAAATATTAAAACAATCTAGTTTCTACTGCAGGCCTAAGATTTATGATTGTTTAAATCTCTTAATCAGTGTCAGTTTACATGGAATAGAAAAAAATGCATATCACTTCTAAATTTACAATATTGAAAATCTCAATTCTCGGTTGCAAAGTTGCCATAGTTAAACTTATTGATCTATAATAGCTAGTAAGATGACTTAATTTCTTATACTTAAACTTTTTACTATTTATTCAATCACCGTATGTCTTGAATTATCTATGTCTTGTTACTCCTAGGTATAAGTATTGTTTTTTTTTTTTTTTTTTTTTACTGCCTTAGATTAGATTTTGCATGTATCCTTATCGTATTGTTCACTGGTCTTGCATTGTTACTTAGTTTTAGTATTTAGTCATGATGAGTAAATTCAATAATTATTGTAAATTGGTGAAATCCGTTGGCAATAAATTACTTTTAATATTTATAATATAAAAGGTGTGATTTTCCTTATTCTTGGAAAACAGCATCTACAGCTTATCGTTATTATATTATTATTATTACCCAGCCGTTCTTTTTCTTTGCATAAAAATTGATAAAAGTTCAATTTTACTAAAACACCGTCGGTCAGAGATTTTTATTCCGTTGATTTTATTTCGTTCGTAAAACCAATATATGTCAGCTTAAACTCGCTCGCTCTATGGTATATATTCAATGCTCTGCTACACTAAAATTGATTTAAGGGTTCAAGATACAGCATATAGGCTCTACCCCTGCCGCAGCAAACCTGCAGACGAAGCTAATATTTACGTCGGATTAATGCCCTATTTTAGCAACATTAAGTTTAATGAGTACGTAGGTGATAAAATGTGTTTTTTATTGACATGTTAATAGCTAGCTAAATTTATATTATATTTTAAATATCTGGTTGAAAAACTTTGTAAATTTGATTAAAATATACCCAAAAACAGCGCTTAAATATACTAAATTATTTGTTTGCTATAGATAATGGTTTGGAAAGAAATTGCTAAATGTTACGTTTTGGGGGTCAAAAGTGGGGACGCAATTTTGACATAAAAACCCGTTAACCACCGAGAGATTGCCTTTAATATACGAATCTTGAATCTTGTATCGTAAAGTTTGAAAAGGATATGTAATTATAAAGTGATGTAAAGGCACTTTTCATCGCATTGAACATTTAAATTCAGTTTTCGTGTTTGTTCCAATGGACTTTTTTGCAGTTCAAACTCATGGCTTCTAAACCAAAGCATAGAAAACCCCGTGTATTAGTTTGGTGCCTCCTGATTGGCTGGATTTCGGCCAATTAGCAGCTTGGGCGTGGCCTTAGGCTCCTCCCCCTAGTGTTCCGGGACTACTTTTTACAGTTAGGATTACAAAACATACAGGTTACTGAAGCTTGGTAGTCTTAATAAAAGTACCAAGTACAAGAGCTTAACTCGGTTGTAAAATATGGGCTTAGTTAGTTAAAATAATACTGTATAAATAGACCTATGTATAGGCTAAATTAGGATAGTGTTTAATTACAAACCATTAACATTTTATTCACTGAATAAAAACTTTGCAATGTATAATCATGCAATAAAAGGAAATTTATATACATCAAATCAATTAACGGTTGTGGAGAAAATTCAATGAAACTTTACATTTTAAATTCTTAATATTTTAGAGTTTAATTTGATTTGTATTCTTTTGTTTTGTAAACTTTGTGGCGCTATAAAAACAGATTTTCTGTACACAATAAAGATTGTTTGATTTGACTTGAGATGTTATTCTTATGTAGAAAAAGTAATCAGTTGTAATTTGCTTGTTTTTTTTCGGGACGCTAGGCACAAGCCCGGAATTGTTTTTCACATTACTATTATCACTTAGATAAAGTTTATTTGTAATTTGTCGGGTTTTGAGCCCGGGACCCCAGGAACCGAAGTCCCACGTTCTAACGCTCTTGATTCTTGATTCTAATAGACCAGCTCGCACCCCAATTTGCTTGTTTATGGGTAGGTATATTTTAATCAAATTTGGCAAATTGGTTTATTTCCTATTAAGCTTTTAAATTGCTACTAAAAAACACACCTTTGCCTTCCCTGTAGCAGAACCGTAAGCATTAGTTTACCCTAATGTTAGTAAAATAGGAAGTCAATGTTAATACACAAATTAACACAACACACAGATTAATTGATCCACAAATTGTTATGCATGTAATCGTAAAAATGTCGATTTTGCCGTAAATAAATAAATAAATAAATAAATACAATGAATTTGGATAGCGTTAGAGTCTCTAATTTACTTTGGCGAATTGAAGGTATTTTTAGGGGAAAAAGTAATAATGGTTTGTGAAGTTATTATCAATTGTTGGTTTAAATTATTGCAAGAACAAAATTTTCTTTCCTAAGAACAAAATAGAGCAGAAATTATAGCAATCGCGATAAAGACAATAATTGCGTTGATTTACCTTGAATTTTGTATGCAGAAAAGTTGTAAAAAATAATTCATTAATAGATTATAATATTGTCATTTGTTATGGTATGTTAGTGCAACAAAGACATTCAGGAAAATTTTAAGAAATTTAAATTGTATACTCCAACAATTAAAAACCAACATAAACCGAAGTTAAAGTTAGTCTATACACATAAGCTAAAATTATAAAATTTAGCACAGATTAAGGAATGTCAAGGCCTTTGAGGATACGTGGATGTTTTTGAATGTAAATTATTGTAATTTTTTTGTATCGAAAATTCTGGTCATGTAATGTTTGTCAAAATTGTTTTTAGAATTTTTTTCATAGATTGTTAGTATGGATTGTTTTTTACATAGTTTTCATAGATTATTTATATAGACTGTTTTATAATTTGTTTTATATGTATAGTTTATTAGGATTAAGGACAAGAGTTGTTTTGAAAAACAGAATGCATTCTTCTGAAAAACGCTTGCAATAAAGACCTGTTTATTTATTTATTTATTATTTACGTCTTTATAAGCCTTGAAAGAGTGTCTGCTCCTGCTCTTCAAATCTGTGCTGACAGAGTTAACCCGGCGTTATATGGGTCAAATTAATACAGTAGATAATAAAACTAATTTAAAAACAACAATAAATTTACGTATACTGTATTCTGTATGGAAATGTTCAAAGTCTGATATCGCTCCGTTAATATTAGCTGGGGTAGTGGATACTGGTACTTTTTATTATGGTAATTTAATAGAGCATATACAAACAGTTTCATCATCGAAATTTATTTGCAACATTTATGAGGATGTATTAATTTTTCAAATAACTGGAATATTCTTCGTAATTTTTCTTGGCATCATAAAAAAATTCTTGAAAGTCTATACGCTGGTTTGTAATGTTTTTTTGTGTGTTTTAATGATATTGATTGAATAATATTTTTGGGGATTCTACATTTGGCAGAAAAAAACAGTCGTTTTCAATGCATGGATTTCGGGTCTAAAGTAGCATTTTTACTCTCTAAGGAGTAAAAATCAGA